CTAAGCCAGAAGTACTAACCTCCATAATGATGTTCCGTAGAGGTTTGCTGTTGCACTTGGCGTCCGTCAATGGTGGTCCTCCTTCTAAATGTTTGCAAATTATAGTTACCATAGGATTTCCGTCCTAGATCACAGAAATTTCAGCCTAAGCCTCAGCTCGCTTATCTATAAATATACTCGAAATCCCTGAGATCGGGTAGGCGTGGCTGCATGTTTCAACTTAACCTGAAGGTGTCTATGCTTCTGGTGAGATATTTTCATCTTGACACAATTGTTGTCGTGTCTCTGTCCAACACAGAACAAGATGACAGTTGTCCCAGACTGGAATATTCCACGAGTAACCAGTTCCGTGCCATGTTCAAATGCCACGCCTACTCTGGCTCAGGGATAAGGAGTGTAAATTAATGTTATGTAAGAGGACTAAATGGCGCTGAACGCTCAACTCCTTCTTGGCCACCATTAAAATCATCGAAAGTTGTGTCAAAATCTCGATTTGATTGAAAATTGGTCTCAAGTGATAGGTCATATCGATTTACATTCAGGCCACCAAGTTCGCTGAACCCGTGTCCCAGGGCTTGCGTGGATAGCTGTGTTTACCGAAGCTCTCTCCCTCACCATATAAAGAGGAGAGGTACAGCAACGAAAGAGCCACAGCGCTCATGGGTCTCCACCCACCCGCTTATCGCGGAATCTTCAGATTGTCTCTAAAAATGACTCACGATCGTCGTCGTATTCAGTGCCTTCGTTGTCTTCGCCAATCTTAGCCTCCGGCGCTGCGGTGGCTTCAACTGGTAAAGGATGATCCACCTAGAAGGATAGGTTTGAAGTTTCACCATCAGTTTCAACTGAGACGATGGATCCCCTTGCCAGAACTCACCTCCTCTACCTCTTCTAATATATCTTGCGCGCCAAATCCTTGTCTCTTCTTCGCTCTCAGCATAATATATTTGATTTTCAGCGCAGGTTGATCACATTGTACCTGCGATAGAATAAGTTACTCGGCAATTTACATATTCTCCAGATCATGCATCAGTGGCGAGCCGGGTTCCATAGCGGTCGCGTAGGCTCTAGACAAAGCACGTCATAGGTTGAACATCTTCAGCGAGTCGGTCATACTTGGTCCCTAGGGGGAGAGCGACCATATTTGCCCTCGAGAGGGATGTTTTTGATTGTCGAATTTTCTCAGCTCTTCCCGCTTCAAGCAGTAGTGTTTGGATACCCCCCCTCCCCTTCCTCCCCTTCCACCACTTCTTCCCCCGCTCGACGGCAGTTTTTGTAGGAGAAGTGAAAAAAACTCTGGGAATTTAGGAAAATTTGGGAATATCGGAGGATGGACGGAAGAACGTATCAGAAGGGGAACTTTCGAGGGAGGCGGGACTGGCATTCCGTAAAAAATTCCCCATTTTTCACTCTGCACAATTCCCAAAGGCGGGACGTGCTCTGGCTCTAGGGGGGCCAGATCTATGAGCACAGCGGCACCGTTCTGGTTTTCAATAATTTTTGATTACTGGAAATCAAACGGGTGGCTAAAGTTCGATAACATGAAAAACCAGCAAGCAGCTGGTGAATGCGCAGATAGCACAGGTTCGCTGTTTAGTATTTATGTTACCTGTTACGGACCAGATGCGAGTTCCTGACGTCACCTACTCTTTTGATGACGTTTCTTGAGACGTCATCTAACATATGATCTTACTACTTGTTAGATGACGCGTCGTCTTCTCGCTCCTAGCAGGTAACGGACCTATGCTATGTCTGCGTCCCTGCACGACTTGTCCACTCCGTTGCTTCACGTGGGGGAATGTGTGCA